GGGAACAGTTGAGAGTAATGAAGTCATTATCGATCCATGTCACCCTTTGGCTCAGATTTTGTAAACAGATTCATCTTTAAAGATGGCGTGACTAGGGGATCACAGGAGCTGATGGCATTGTTTGCAATGACAAGTCTGGAAATTTCCACTGCAGGGAGATAGCATAGGATCAATGCTCTCCTGGTTTCGCCCTTAAAACTTATAAAAAGGAAAATTACATAGAAATAAAAAGATAGACTTGATATTTTTATGTCAGGTAAGCACAATAAAAATGAGAACATGATGTGTACTACTGGAGATGAGACTGTTATAATGATACACAAAACTTAATGTTGGGATGTTATGCCACAACATGGATAAACCTTAAAAATACTGGGCGCAGTGAAAGAAAGCAATCATAAAAAACTGCATATTGTATAATTTCATTTCTGTGAAATGACTAGCATAGAGACAGAATAGTGGTTGCCTAGAGTGGGGTGGGAAAGAGAACAGAGAATAACAATGGAGATAGGATTTCCTTTGGGGTAATGAAAATGTTCTAAAAATGTGGTGATGGTGCACAATTCTATAAATATGCTAACCATCGTTGAGTTGTGTATTTTAAATGGCTGAAGTCTATGGGGTGGAAATTTTATCTCAAGATAGAATTCTATCTCAATTCTATCTCAGCTATTTGGGAAGCTGAGGCAAAAAGACTGCTCAAACCCAAGAGTTTGAGGTTGCTGTGAGCTGTGACACCACAGCACTCTGCCAAGCGCAACAAAGTGAGACTCGGTTTCAATTACAAAAAAAAAAAAAGATAAAGTAAAAATTATCTTAATACATCATGACATAATTTATTACCTAATATTGACAATAAACAGTACTTATGGCCACTCCTTGTAAAATCTGGAAAGAGTAGTAATGATAATGAATATTTATTTTTAAAAAGACCCAGATAACATATTTCTGATAAATTTCAAAATTGCAGTCATTTTAGAAGATGACATTTGAGGCAAAACTCAAGGTCATGTTGTGACCTCAAGCCTCATGAGAAGTCCATTCCCAAAATGTATGGGAAGCAATTCCTAAAATTGTGAGAGATGGTGTGATCATTGACCTCGGGGCATCTTTTTGACAAAAGTTTAGAATTATGTATAAAAATATGTAAAGAAGCAAAGTCAGGGTATTGCTAGTTTAACCTGTGCATCCTTATTATTTTAGGTCTTAATGATAGATGCCAGAGAAAGCATAGCCTTGCAATCCTACTGATTGGACTCATACTCTGAATATGTTCAGTGTTGGAACATTTAAGACAATTTACATTTCACAGCATTTCAACGTTAGTTGGATTTAGAAGAATTATTACATTTTGTCATTTAATTGAAGTGTTTAGGGAAGAAACTGAATTAATTGATCCAGGCCAATTCAAGATATTTATTTAATACATTCACAAATGGGACCAAACAGTAATCAAAACCTCTTTAAAATTTAATAGCTTTGAAAATAGAAGAAGATTCATAAGCTGAACTTCAATTTAAGGAAGAACTAATTCTGGGAAGGTATCACTTCAATAAATTGAATATTACCTATG